AAAAAAAAAAAAAAAAAAAAAAAAAAGAATATACACAAGTGAGTGTATTTTAACATCATACCTCAAGCTCTGTATTTTATTGAAACACCCCATCTTCACATGGAGAGATTCCTTTGGCTGCTGGGTTAAGGATTTGTAGGCCACTTATCAGAATGCTGCTGGCTCATCTGGGTCTGGTGCCTGACTTAGGAGCTCTAGACGTTGGGTGACGTGTCATCTCAGATTTAATAATCAATGATTTATTCAGTAATTTATAATTCATGTTAGTTAATGAGGTTTATGAGAGATGTTTAGAAACCGAAAAACTGTTGAGTTCTGAGGTTAGTAGCTTTTAAAGGTATATCCTTTTCCTGGCACTAATTTGGCACACTAAATAATAGGAGAATGGTACTTAATGAACACATAGGAGCAAAAGGAGTTGGTTTATCTGTGGGAAAGACATGCTAATAAGTTCTCTTTGCTCCTCAGTGATGGGGACAATGGGAATGGAGTACTCTTGTCACCAGAGTGACAATCATGAGTAAACCCTGAGCAATTCCTTTTTTAAAATTTGTATTTCTAGATGGTGGTGGCACATGACTTTAAACCCAGCCCTCGGAAGTCAGGGGCAGGTGGATCTCTGTGAGTTTGAGGCCGGTATGACCTACAGATCGAGTTTCAGGACAACCACGCCACACACAGAAATCCTGTCTTAAAAAAACAATATATTATTTTATGAGTATGAGTGTTTGCCTATATGTCTATTGTGCGCCACCTGTCCATGCAGTGCCCTTGAGACGGAAGAGGTCATCAGATGAACTGGAGTTACAGAGAGTTGTGGGCTACCATGTGGTTCTGGGACTTGAACCTAGGTCTTCTGGAGGAGCAGCCAGAGCTTTTAGACTCAGAATCATTTCTCCAGTGCCCCCTCCCACCCCCCCATTTCCTTAATCAGTATGGTTTTCATGTTCCTTCTGATGATCTTGATTAGACATGAATGTCAAACAGGTGTCCTCAAAACGACTATTAAAGTGCTTTGAATCTGACCTTCTCTCTGAAGTACTGGGGCAGTGTGTCATTGCCAACCCCGGCACACATGTGATGTGTGAATAGGAATGTGAAGTTCAGTGCCCGAGGAGCCGTACTGCTTACTATGTATCTCTATTCGCCTGTTTCAGTGAGAACAACCCTGTGGGAGAAAGTTAATTTCTAAGTACTTGAGGTCTAAAGCAGCTTTGTCTCTCCCCTCTTCAGGTAGTGGAGGTGTACGGCCTCCTGGCCTTGGGAATGTCACTGTGGAACCAGCTGGTTCTTCCTGTGCTTTTCATGGTCTTCTGGCTTGTTTTATTTGCTCTTCAGATCTACTCCTACTTCAGCACCCGCGATCAGCCCGCCTCCCGAGAGAGGCTTCTCTTCCTCTTCCTGACAAGGTAATTAATTCTCTCTCTCTCTCTCTCTCTCTCTCTCTCTCTCTCTCTCTCTCTCTCACACACACACACACACACAACACACACCCACCCACCCACACACACACACACACACACACACACACCACCACCACCCCCACCCCCCAAAGAGAACTTGGACCTGGAAGACAGGTGTTCCCGGTTACTCTTAGCTGTATCATAGGACTGTCTTTAATAGGCTTTCAGCTGTAGAGGCCCCAGTCCAGCAGTGAAGGGAACTGAAGGAGCAGTGAATGTGAACTGAAGCATGATATGATGGTGTGTTTGGCCACCATGGGGACTGGCATACAGCAAATGATTTGTGGATATGTTACTAAAATGATGGTCATGTTGAGTCTTTAATACCAGCCACACGCTAAACACCTTCCCTCCCATTCAGTCTTCCCAGCAACCTTGAGAGACAGGGACCTTTATCACAATTTCCTGTTTATAGTGGGCAGACTCCAGGGAGAGCATCTCCCTGGTGACATTGTGGCAAGAGGCACAGCTGCCACTCAAGCCAGGTCTCAGTTCAGCACCTGAGGCTGTTCTGTGTACCATATCTTCATATTCTTCATGTTTTGCTTCAGTGCTGAAAGAAATAATTGGTAAAATGCATATATCTTAGCACTTGTCTGTCTGTGTAGGTGTGGATGTGTGTGCACATGTGTGTTGGTGTATGTGCAGGTGCAGAGGAGGGTGCTGGGTGTCTGGCCTCATTATTCTCTGTCTTACTACCTTGAGACAGGGTCTCTTGCAGAACCTAGAGCTAGGCTAGTAGCTAGCACAGCTAGTGGTCATCCTCCTGTCTACGCCTGCCCACTCTCCTCAGTGCTGGAGTTCCAGGTGCACACGGCTTTGTAGGTGGGTGCTGGGATCCGAACTAGGGTCCTCATGTGTGTGCAGCAAACCCTCTTATTACCCCCTGAGCTGTCTCTCTGGCCCTATGTTAGGGTTTCTGTTTTGTTTTAGTTCCTGTGTGTCATTTGAGTTCTTTTCTACTGTAGCTTCTATTGTGAGCTTATGTTGGGTCCACATTTGTCACATCCACTGAGATTGTATTTGAAATGTTCAGTTCTCTCTATACATACAGGTTGCAGGTTCACTCTCTTATTTATTTGTTTATTTGCTTGTGTGTGTGTGTGTGTGTGTGTGTGTGTGTGTGTGTGTGTGTGTGGTGTGGTGTGTTCACATGTATGCTTGGATGTACATTGTAAAAAAACGAGGTATTTTAATTATAGGTAGCTTCTGTAAACATGTACTGTTATCAACAAAACCAGATACTTTTTAATGACCTGTTCAATATTAAATTTGCTTAATGTTTTATGCTAACCAAATTTTTAATTTTTAAAATTGTGGCAATCTTTAAATGAACTTGAACTCTATTCCTGGGTATGGTTGTGAAGTAGTTGCTTAAAGTTAAATTATTTTGTAGACCCAAATAAAATTAAAATTTGAGGCAGTACTGGTATGGTTAATACTGCTCTACTTGAGGGATTCCTGGGTAATGAGGAGGTCCTTGGTAATGCAGGGAGTTCTGACAAGTACCTATGTGAGTGGTACAGTCTGAGCTATTGAATAGACAATAGTTGCTATAACAACATGAATGTAGCACAGGTTACTTTTGAATATTTCTGTCAAGTGAATTACATGTTCTAGGGGTGTGAGGAGGGTTTAAACTCTGATATTTTCTGCATTTGACAGTGATAGATAAGAAAACGTAAAAGACCTTGTTGATATGTATTACAGTGTGCTGGATATTTGCTGCAGAGGTAGAAGATGGCTTAAATTACTATAGTAGCCAAGTGTGGTGTCACATGCCTTTCATCTCAGCACACATAGGCAGAGGCAGGTGGATCTCTGTGAGTTTGAGGCCAGCTTAGTCTTGAGGTAGCCACGGCTGCATAGTGCGATCCTGTCCCAGTAAATAAATAAAAGTAAAATGAAAACTAACTTCTTTATGGGATGATGAGTGGGTGACACCACCTCAGATTCCGGTCCTGGCTGATTGCTGATGATCTGAACAAACTCTGGCAACTCAAAGGCTTAAGATGAACTTACACAAATAGAGAACTCAGCCTGCCCACCTTTTGTTTTCCAGCATCCCTGAGTGCTGCAGCACTCCCTACTCCCTTCTGGGCTTGGTCTTCACTGTGTCCTTTGTCGCCTTGGGTGTTCTGACACTCTGCAAGTTCTACCTGCAGGGATATCGAGCCTTCATGAACGATCCTGCCATGAATAGGTAAACTATTTACATGTGATCTGAATTGAAGGTGTGGTAATAGTCGTGAATGTTTTTGATGAGGTTTAGAGAAAATGGAGTTTTTAGGATTGAAGCACTATAAAAAAACAGTAACAAAATTCCAGTGTAAAATGCATTTAATTATATATATATATTGGATACTTCACTTTTCTAGAGTTTGAGAATTCAGAAAGCTTATTTTTTTCCCATTTGATTGAAGCATGTGTCCTGTTAAAATCTGACTCCCATGGTACTTTATTCCAATGTTTTTCTGTTTTTGTTTTGGGGTGTGTGTGCATGCATGTTTTAGCAAAACTCCCCTGACTGTCAAAGGATGACTTGATGAGAATGCAGAGTAATTAACTTTCTGCCTAGCTAAAAATCCCTAATACAATTATCATAATTTTGCTCCTAAAAGTTTTAGTCTGTAATTAAAAGTGTGTGTATGTGTCTGTTGCCTGCATACATGTCTGTACCATGTACGTGTCTGATGTCTAAAAAGGGCAGAAGAGGGCATCTGATTCCCTAGGGCTGGAATAATAGACAGATGTGAGCTGCCTTGCTGGGAGTTGAACCCAGGTCCTCTGGAAGAGCAAGCAACCAGTGTTCCTAACCATTGAGCCATCTCTCCAGCCCATCTTTAAATGTCTTCACAAAGGTATAGCTAAGGTCAAATCACCATTCCTAGTACAAGAGCCTTTGATATCATATCCAGTTATTCAAATTTTTCTACTGGATTTTTTTTTTAAGATTTTATTTATTTGTTTGTTTATTATGTATGCAGTATTCTGCCTGCACACCAGAAGAGGGCATCACAGCCACCATGTAGTTGCTGGGGAATTGAACTCAGGACCTCTGCAAGAGCAGTTAGTGCTCTTAACCTCTGAGCCTCTCTCCAGCCCCCTGGATTTTTTTTAATACTTTGCTCACTTAAGATCCTAATAAGACCCATGTTGTACCTGACTGATCCATTTTTTGAGCCTCCTTAGTCCTGGGGTCCAGCCTGTATTAGTCCCATGCTACAGAGGCCATCTATTCCAGACTGATATCTTTGGGGCTGTGATCGGAACCAGCCAAACAGCCCCGGATCCGTCCCTGAGTGGGGGAGTGTAGATCTGGAGAAGCCTAGCTACCCAACGGCATTAAGGATGAGACAAAGACATCTTGTCATCTCAGGAGGGCTCTCAATCCATACTGGAGACCAGTGTGGTTTATTCAAGCGTGCTCTTAAATAGCTTTCTAAAAGTGGATGTACTGGCTGAAGACATCTATTATTATGTATAAAGCTGATATCAAGTATTTCCTTTAATCTAGAGATAGTCCCAGAATGCACATACACAAACCCTCAGACATTCTATAACGGCCTCACTAGTCCCCATACACATCCCACCAGCCCTCATGATGGGTGTGGGTATACCCTGGGGCCTAGGTCTATTTTTACACAAACTCGAAGCCATTCTCAACTGTGGCCAAGCCATCCAGTGGTATCTAAAACACAATGGGAAATTCAAGCTCCTAGAATCAAGCTGAGGCCTGTGTCTGAAATATCATATTCAATATTTGGGCCCCGACACCTTAGTATTTAGATTCCTTTGTTCTTATTTTCCTGCTGTGTTTTATTGGTTGAATATACCAGGACATTGACCCCACAGATCTTGAGGGTCCTGGTTTTACTGGGTGCTTCTGTGGTGTTGGAGAGCATATTCCATTATTGACTGTTTTCTTTCTTTATCAGAGGTTTTCATTTTTGTGTAGACCATCTGTAAAATCAGTTATTACCATTAGGATTGTTGAGTTGGCAGATCTGTAAATTTTTTTGTTGTTGTTGTATTTACATTGATGTTTTGCCTGCATGTATGTTAGGGTGTCAGATCCTCAAGAACAGGGGTTATAGACAGCTGTGAGCTGCCATGTGGGTCATGGGAATTGAACCTGGATCCTCTGGAAGAGAAGCCAGTGCTCTTAGCCACTGGGCCATTTCTCCAGCCCCCAGATTTGTAAATTATATTTCAATATTCATTGATTTATTAGCAGATTTTCTCCATTAAGATTTTACCATATAATGTCAAAATTGGTGTGCTTGCCTTTCCACACATTCCACTGTACTGTGCAGTGGGATCTCACTTTAAAGTATTTTCTGACATAGTTTTTGTTTGTTTGTTTTTGTTTTTGTTTTTCGAGACAGGGTTTCTCTGTAGCTTTGGAGGCTGTTCTGGAACTAGCTCTTGTAGACCAGGCTGGTCTCGAACTCACAGAGATCCGCCTGCCT